GTCTTACACTGATAAATTAGGGACGGCTAGCGCAGATAGGCCTCGTGTAGCTTTGCGCGAAATTAAAAAAAACACACATATATATATATATATGCTGTGACGATCTATAGAAACAAGAGTTAAATATTATTTTTAAAAATACGTCTCATTGCATCTTCTCCCTCAGTTTTGTCTGCTTAAGAATATTTTTCTCGGGATTTTTATTTTGGTTAGTAACGAAACACACACAATTTTAGTAAAGTAAAGTTTTATACGTATTGCCACGCTTTACCATATCTCCCAGTCTTGTTCTAGAGTAATGAACAACTATTCAAACCTACTATAGAACAAGCAAAATATCCTGTTATTTAACTTAAAGTGCATAAAGCAACCTCAAGAAGGTTTCAGCCATAGAAACTTGAGACCTAGATCTTCCACTGTAGTAAAGCATTATCATAATTCCTTAATTACTAACGGATTTATAGCAAGTTTCTTTACAGTATTATTTTTAATGCTCGCATTGAGAGCTTACTAGGGCATCATACGTGTTGTTAGATCTACTTTTAAGTATAACGAAAGCATATTACTGAATTTATGATCAAATATACTGCTAATTATGAAAGCTAGAACTCATACTTACATAATGTTCTGGAGCATAGCCGTAACCATATCCATAAGTAGGGACACCAACTCTAGCTCCATGGTAAGGACCAAGATAATCTCCAGCCAAAACCATTGTCACGGAAGTTAAGAAAATGAACAACTGAGAAAGAAAATGAAAGTTTTAGACGTAGTGATCTATAAAACTATCAATCCAACATTATGCTTAATCTATATTATCAAAGTTTCATTGATGCAGTGAAACGTGAAAAATAACTTGGATGTTTTATGAAAACTTAATACCGTATTAAAAGGTGTAAAGTAGGGCTAACTTGACATAGGCCTAATTTACGCTTGTCAATGAGGTGATTGATTTCCGCGATGACTATATGATTTTTTTAAAATTATTGTTCTTGATTCAAAAATCTTTGTATCTAGCTTTCAGATTACTATTTGTCCGTCTGTATGTCTGTATTGCTATTAGTTAAAGATGAAATGAACGACATGGAAAAAGAATACATGGCACCATTGTTAAAACTATTAGTGTTATTCTTTTCAATCTTTAAGACATAAGTTTTAATTTTACTTTCTAGTTTGCTAATAATTTCGTGTCTATAGTGTTCTCTTGAGCTGCAGTTAAATATCATATGAATTTTGTTTTTCCCATTAACGAAACTGTCCCTTCATTATCGACTTAAGTCATATAAATATATCAGACTTTGAAGAAACAGTCGTACTAGAACTCTAAACCTAAAGCTTCAATTACTTCTATTTAGCAAACAATAAACGTACCTTAAACTCTTAGTTTAATTAGATTTATTTAAAAATTTCGATCCACAGTGGTCCTGGTACCTTAAAACTCATCTGGTTATGCTGAAGACTTCTGTTTGTTTATAAATGAAATGCTTACAGATATATCTAATAAGACTTGGCACAAGGTATTTAGAGAACAATGTTATTCAATCTAATATAGAGCACTTACAAACATATTTAATGCAACTTGAACTATAGTGCTTATAGACATATTTAATTCGGCTAGCTATGACTGGGCGTTAACAGATGTATGTTTAATTTGGTTCGTTATAAGGTGCTTACAGACGTAGTTCATTCGTCCTGTTATAAGGTACTTACAGACATCTTTAATTCGACCTTTTATAAACTCAGAACCAAGTTTAATTCGATGTAACAAAAATATAATTGACAAAAATTCAAGAAATGTAATTAATGCCAAAGAATAAACATTATACTTATATAATGATAACACTCTAAAGTTTTCTGACGAAGTGAAAACTTAGATTGAGGCCAACTTAAATCCTCTTCCATATTATCTGGTTAATTGGGATGGGTGTTATGCTCTTGTTAAAGGTCTGTTTTCAATTCTACAGAAAACCGTGCAAAATAGAAGACTCTTTCAACAATACATTCTGTTTTCCAAATACTAATAACCTACGAACATGTGGATTAATATGAGCAACAGCAACAACAAACTTATGGTGTTAATATATATTAAACTTTTAAATGACACTTACTTCCTACATGCTTTACTGTAATGTATAGTACTATTTCTGTTTACTTCTCTACTTACGTTAGTGGTCATTGCTCGTTTTTCCAATGGGAGTTATTCACACCGTTTATAGAAGGAGAACGTATCTGTTGAGATTCTTTAGTATGTTCTCTGTCTTTTCTTTTCCTTGTCGTTTTTATAGTTGCTGGATCGTTTTGTGATGACCTGTATACTTAGGTGTGTGCATGAGTTTGTAATTACAGGGATTGACCGCGGCACCTGTACCAATCTCCGTGTCAACAATACGAAATAATACAAATAGAGGTCAGAGAGAAGAGGTTAGTTGAAGAAAGAGGGGTAAGAGCTAGATGAGGATAATAGCGAAGAAAAAACAGAAACACAATGTCTTCAAACATATTTTACTTTTTTAGGCAGTAAGATAATAGCTAACAAATGTATGTATTGGTTTACTTTAAGCAATATATTAATTTTTTACAAGTCTTTAAAGAATTTTAAGCCTTTTGCTAAATTTGACAAGATCTGCCACCAAGAGTAGAATTGATCATACCACTAGGAATTAGGCTTAAATGAGCCGAATATACCACTATCCTCCCCTCCTCCCTCTTAAGCAGTATATAAAAAAAAGAAAATAGGGCTTATTCATCCCCTCTAATGCCGGAAGAAAGTTTTCGTTGTCATGATCTCGCAGAGAACAATGATCTTCAAAGAAAGCGTGAGTCAACCATCAGTTGGTTTTGGGTTTTTGAATTCGGAAACATTTCTGACTCCGCCCATTTCGTCGAGATTCCAAGTCGTACTAAAAGGGGGCGTCACACATTTCGTCTAGGCAGTTTATTCGTTTATAGTATTAAGCTACACAATGGGGTATCTACACTTTGTCCACAGCGGTGAATCGAAACCTGAATGTTAGTGTTGTAAGTCCGTAAACTCATCGTTGAATCATTCAGCGATTTGCCTTGTTAGATACATACAAACATTGTTTTCGGGGAAAATGTACAGATACTCAGTTTATGAAAACTAACGAATCGATGCTATTGGTTAACGAGAAACTAGACACTCGAAATAAAAACTGTAGAATCGACGTGAATTATAATTGTAGCGAATATGTTATCTGTTCTATTTATTGTATATTTGCAATATTTTGTTGTTGAAATCATGGAAAACACAAAGTATAAATTATTAATTTCAGTAAACTATCATTTACAAATGTTCTTATGGTTATAAATTTTCATCTATTTTTATGTTTAAAAAAAAGATTCATAAGTTTTTACCTAAACTTTCATTGACACGAACCACATTTTTCTGAATTTTGTACTCAATTCCAAAGAAGCTTGAAGGAGAGGATGATAGAAAAAATAACCTCACTGACACACTTCTCCTACGTCATACTTCACAAACTTCAATAAACGTTTTAAGTATATATTTTTAAATAAGTGTAGGTTAAAATTGCGATTTAAAGCTCATTTCGCTGTTGCAACATCAATACACGTAATCATAGTTTTCAATACAGTCTAAATAATCTACATTCATATGCGTTTCATTAACTGAAAATTCAATGGCGACACTGAAAGTGTTTGTTTTCATTGTTTAATGCGAAACTACTATTTGCTCTTCATAGAAGATATATTAGCACTATTCTATACTAATTTTACACGTAATCAAATCGATTTGAAGATCCCATTTTAAGGTCTGTCTTATTAAAAGTAGATCACGTTTTACTAGAATTATTCATTAAGTTGACTTTTTATTTCATTTTAAAACATATGTTTGTCTAAAGCAAAGTGCAAGCTTTTGAATAAACAATTAGAAGCAAATAATTTAGGTTTGGTTGTTTGTAATTAAGCACAAAGCTACATAATGGGCTATCTGTGCTCTGCCCACCATGGGTATCGAAACCCGGTTTCTAGCGTTGGAAGTCCGCAGACATACCGCTGTGCCAGTGGGGGGACATAATTTAGGTATCCCACATACTAAAATCATTACTGTGTATTACTTAATAATTTCTAGCTCTCTGGTAGCTCAGCGGTAAGTCTGAGGGCTTATTACGCTCAAAATCTGGTTTAGACACTTGCGTTGGGCAGACAACTAATAGCCCGTTGTGTATCTTCGTGCTTGACAACAAACACACAAATGAACATAATTTCTAAGAAACTACAGAGAAGAAAACAAACTGGTGCTGTAATCCATATGCTGCTGTAATTCATATGTTACTTACAAAATATTGTTTGTAAAAATACAGTTTAAAACGCAATAATATAATGTTAGTTTTGAGACAACTTTAATGTTATTGGTCTTGTCAAATCTGAAGTTTTTGCATAACTGTAATTCTCTGACGGTCCCTTCTATATCATTTCTTCTCTACCGATAGGTGTGGTTTTCTCCCCTAACTTTCTACCTAATCTATTGTTTTCGGCCTACTTTCCGCGCAGTAACAAAGAGTGTTACAAACTTGGGAAGCACAAGAAACAGGTCGACCGTAACAGAAGACACTCTTGTTCTCGTATCATAACTTACCGTTTCTAAAACACCGTTTTAATATTTCGTTAGCAAACAACTCTATAACTACTTGTATCACTTAAATAAACAAAATAGTGGATATATCACGAGTTGAAAAGGTAAAATGTCTCACCTACTATGCAGCGATAATGACGAATAATTACGGAAGAAAATAAAATTTAACTTTTTTATTTAAAAAAGGAAAGAGAAATAATGCATAGGCACAGGCACTTTTGAGTTTCTAATGAGTTCAAAATACCATTTGTATTTCAATCCGGTTTGGTTGAGTTTTAGATTCTTATAAACACAAATAGACGGTGTAGCCTAACATATGATGAATGATATGTTCGGAGCGAACACATTCGAGCCAATTATGTGACAGTATTATTCTATATTTGCTGATAAATATATAAGACAATGAAACGATGACCAATTAGAGTATAATAAACCTAGATTTAATTAATTATTTAATAAATAACAATAAACTAGCTGATCAAACCTATAAACACTCATTTAAAGTATGATTTATTCTGATCTCGATATATTTTGAATGACGTCAAGAAAACCTGCGATAATTCATCCTTCTACAAGTAATAAAAATATATATCCTTATTCAGTTATGTATAGTTATATATATTTTTTTTATATTTTACTGCAGATGTTCTATATGTACTTATAGTTGGTGTTCTGTCCTTGCAAGCAGGGTGTAGAAAGGGCATACATTTGTACCCATTTTCTAGCTTACAAAATGTTACAAACCGCAATAATTGTTCAGTAAAGCTCATACGTGTTTGAACTTGTTTCTGTGTCATTCCTTTCTGAAGTGAAGTTGCACTCATTTCAAGCGGTGCTACAGAAACTTGTCCAAGTATAAGTTTGGGTTTGTCTTTTCTTGGCTTAGGTATGTATAATAGAAATGATGGTTTACATAGATAATCTGGGTTGTGGGATACCGTATTAGGTATTTCGTTTGACATGAATGTGTAATATCGTCATAATTCTTACTCTTGCAATCGTCTCCTATAGATGTGATTTCTCCAGTTCTAGCAGACAAAAAAATTCTATATAAAACCACTGAAGCCAGCAAGTTTAGATAAAACTTCTATAGTTTGATAAAAAAAACATGTTGATTCATTCACTTGTATATTAGTTTTCTCTCGCTCTCTTTGCTGTTTATGTTTACCATTTTTTGAATCTGCTGTTTACTGAGGATACTTATAGTTATTCTGTTAGAAGCGTGCCTTAATACCACATCTATAATCTCCCTATTGTCGTATTGTTTGTCATGCTATTGTTGATATATATATATATATATAAGCTCTTCACCAACTGATTTGGTTTACTTTCATGTTGTCTATGTGTCTAAGTAGTGATATTTCCATATAGAAACGCACATGGGCTACAAGTATTTATACCCAGGAAAAATATCATCCTCATTTACTTTCGATTGTTATCACAGCGAATTAGTCAGGATTTGTTCCTCAAGCTCCTCAGTTGTATGGGTTGTTCAATGATATTACATTACTTGATAAGCTGATGTATTAGTACACTAGAAAAGACTGAGTTGTAGCTATAATAATTGTTTATTGTGGTATCGGTACCGCGAGGCAAAAACGTAAGGTTATCAACAAATGATGCTACAATATACCAAAAATTTATAAAAGGAACAAAAAAATTCGAAATATAAGGATTATTGATACGTTTTAAACAATACTAAAGCAACATTGTTTCTGAAAACAATAACATTAATTTATTCAATGCGTATATAAATACAAGCAGTCTTGGATACCAAGCTTTTTCACAAACACTCTTTCGCTTTGGTTATTATTGTACAGCGGGAAGCATACAAGAATTAGACGTATTTAATGTTAACATGTTTATGCAATTTTAAGTTTCGATTTTGAACATAGCAAATGAATATTACTTAGCATAACCTGCACCTTTTCTTCTTTAATACACTGCGAGAATAGGCTGTAAAGTTAAATTTAATTCCTTTATCAAAAACTTCAATGGTATTTGGCGAGTGGGTAACCGTAGGGTGCGTAGGCATGAACGGCGGGAATCACGTGTTTGACGACAGGTTGTTTGTAGACAACTGGAGCGGGAACTGGGTTGGAGTTGATGGTAACGTCGGCGGGGTTCTGGTTGTCGGTGCCGGGCTCACTGGTGTCGACCTGGGCACGGAAGCCGCCAGCATCGGCAACGTAATTCACCTTACGCCAGATGCCATTGGCATCAGCGTAGCCATAGCTTCCAGTGACAGCTCCGCTACCGTCTCCGCTCTCGTGTCGGCTCAGCTGAGTGCCAAATTCATCAGTAGTGTCGAAGCCAAAGTCATAAGGTTCGGGAGCAGCCTGGAACAAGAGTCACAGTAAAACGATAATATTAAAAATACATAATGAATAAAACTGTACATTTACTGAGATTATGTGTGCATTACGAGTGGATGATTTTCATGTTGCATGCTTTGAAAATAGGTTCGGGAGTATCCTGGAATGGTAGGAGATAGTAACGAAGTTATACAAAAAATGCTATGGTGTGAACCATTCATTAATCTAATTCTATTGCAGTTCTATCTATTTTCCAATTAAGCTTTGATTTATCTCTTGTTAATATTATATAATAATATACGAAGCTCTCTATGCTGAAATATATACTACTGCACGAATTGATTCGTAAATCCTGTTTTAGGGCATTTTATATAACTAAGCATTTTGTGGCAATTTGGATATAGATTGAATACCCAATGTTCAAATGACTATCTATGTACAAATAAAATATATATATACAATGAAAATATGATGTATTTTTTAAATAAATATATCCTCTCATGCGAAATTATTTAAACTTCCTTAAGTTAGTCTTGGTTAAACGCTTATTTTGCTCATTTTTATAGTGTTTTTTAAGCTAGAAAAACCATTGTAAGTTAAACAATTTCTGATATCTTTTACTATATGTTCTCCGTCACCTGTAGGAGTAGTTTTTGTAAGATTTTTTTACTTAATGTTAATTTGTGTTATTACTTACATAGTAGGGATCGGGATGGTAAGCAGCAGGGTAGGCATAGGGAGCAAGGAGTTGACCTCCAAACACACCTGCTACAACTGCGAGAAAAACGAAGACCTGACAAAAGAAAATTACACTTACTATTATAATTCACGATATGGTAAAAACTTCAAATTGCCATAAAGTTTGTTACATAAATAACCCACGGTAGTTATGGAGTTTAATACATGTAAAAGGAAAACACAACAATTACCTACTTGCAAAACAAATAGAAAGTTTCCAAACATTTCGAATTAAAATAAATTTTGCTCATTTATAGAGAATGAATATTGTTTTAAATAGCGTACCTTGTTAGAAATAGCAGCTCGTTAGGTATTTCAAGATACGTTTAAAGAATACTTTATTATTTCACTAATTGGTTATTGAACGCTACAAAGCAATGTTACAACAATTTAAATTAATACGTAAATAACGAACACATAATATTTTCTATTAAAATAAACTCAAATAGACCCCAACTTATAATGGAATAAGTTCAATCTAATGATAGATCCTTTAAGAAGCTGCCTGTTTCTTACAAGAAATGTTACATTCCGTGAGCAATAAACTCAAGCAGATCCCAACGTCTAATGGAATAAGTTCAATCTAATGATAGATCCTTTACGAAGCTGCCTGTTTCTCATAAGAAATATTATATTCCGTGAACGATTCCGCAAAATAAATCTAATCTTACCTTAAGCATTGTGAATAGTGAAGTTGTATTGAAACCCTGAGTTGAAATCTCTAGAAGAATGCTCGAGCTTTCGAAGCTTACTTATCTCTTAATGTTTCTCCTCCTTATATATATATACATACGATCAAAAAGAGGGCGATGGTTGGTTTGTTACCAACAAATACCTATACTTTAAGAATGTAATAAAAAAATCAGAACAAAGTTTACAAAATTGTAAAATATAACAGCACATGATGTTGTATTGTTTTTAGAGAACATGCCCTCAAAATTTTACTTTCTTTTGGTTTGTATGTTGCTTCTTTTACTGTAACCGTCATGAGAACAGGTTACGCCCTTGTTGATGCAAAACACATACCTGTTTTCGATTTCTTGAACTATAAATTAAGAAAGGGAAAATGAAGTAAACAATGATGATAGTTGTGTAATATCTGAAACATCATTTTGAAGATATGATTTTTCCTAAAATACTTTTATTTTCAACAAAGAATACGATTAATATTTTGTATAATATTTTAAAATTAATACATGAAATGCTGTTCGACCAACATTCAGTAAGTGGCGCAACACTCCCTGCCCTCTGGCGACAAAATCATGAAATAAAGAATGTGATCCACATTACGTGTCACTAGATTTTAATCAGGTTTATTCTACATTTAATAAGTCTCAGCCTGGTTTCATCAGAGAAAGTGTAGAGGACAAACATCTAAAGGTCAGACAATAAATATTTCAGTGAAAAAAAGCAAAAACAAAAAATCCGTTAGAAATGCAAAAATGTGTAATTCAGATACAGAATGAGGCAGAAGAAAGTATTAAGCTCAGTAAAAGAAGTGTTTCTGTGGTATATCTGGGACCTATCAGTGCTCCTTAAGGAAGTCACTCTTGAAAATTTTTACTTAGAGGTATAAAAGATGAATTGTTAATTGAACACTTCACATAATCATGATTACTGAGGTTGTGGGTCTTTCTTTTGGTCCAAACTTTATGTTTTCTTGAATTATTAAGTTTATTGTTTGTTTTGTAATTAAGCACAAAGCTACGCAATGGGCTATCTGTGCTCTGCTCACCACGGGTATGGAAACGCGGATTCTAGAGTTGTAAGTCCGCAGACATGCCACTGTGCCAGTGGGGGGCTAAGTTTATTGTAAGGGCTTCAAACTAAAAATGATAATTAACTAATGCTATAGAACCATCTTTTTAATGTGAATGTTATAGTAGATATCGATATAGAATAGTGACGTTAGGCGAAATACAATTAGTATAATTAGTTTAAATAAAATTTTAGTTGATTAACGTGCCTTCTACACTTTTATACAGCAATTAAAGGTTTAGAATACAAACATAAATATTTCAATATTTAATGCTTAAAATATTTCATTTAAAAATCGCGCAAGAGATGAAAGTTCGAGGCTGATGACTTGTTCTAGCGTGTGTATTGAATACAGAATACATCTACGTACATTTACTAACACTAGCTTTTAGCTAACCCTAATACACCATGTTACATGGGAACTGTTGTTCATAATAAATAGAATATAGGTGTTACAACTATATTTAGTAAGAAAAGTGTAAAACAACTAAGTGCAAAAAATTAAGTATATATATATATATATACTGATGAGAATACTTAACTACACCTAACTTTGTCAATTCCTCAGTCGCACGTTCCCAATGTCTTTATTACCAGTCGACCCCCTCCCAAATTTCACAAAGATGTATTTAAAGAACAGCAAGCCCTTTATGTATACAGTCCAATATCCATATGTCGAATTAAGCGTCAGAGACTTTGGGAATTTACGTGATATACCAAAAGATTGAGATAGCCGATCCTTAAATACAATTGAAATTATGTAACTTAGACTCAAAGATAAATTCAGGCGTCCACCGATTCACGTGCATAACTCTAACTTGACCGAATGAGTGCATTTCTAAACGTTCTGAATTTCGCAAAACGTAAGGTTGTTAGGTATGCTTGTATAATGAGACAATACGCACGATTTAAGTATTTTGGAATAAGTTTGATTCTAGCAATGTCGTAGATGAGAAAATCAAATATTATTTGTAACTAAACTTTGTGAAAATTCCTTAACTTTTCCATAGAATAACAATTCAGCAATTGTCATATTTTTCTTAATGAAATTTCTTCCTTCAATTTAGCGTTCCTCTATTCTCGACTTTTTATAATTAATTTGGCTGTAGTGAATCAGTGTACATTTCCATGACAATATTGTGTTGATATTCACAATAAGTCCTTTAGAGTCTACTGCATTATGTTAAATGTTTCTTTGTTGTTAAGCACACATTTACACAACAGATTATATGTATTCTGCCAACTGTGGTACATAAACTCGATTTTTAGCGTTATAAGCCCTCAGACTTACTGCTGAGCGACCAAAGAGAACGGCTGAATGAAGCGTCCGTTTTTGAAATAAATGAGTTTGATATATATATATAAGAAATTTAACAACAAAAATGTAAGTCTCCATGAAAATGTGAATCTAAGATCTTTGCTATCTAGACAAAACCTTTTGATGATTAACATTTTATTTATTTTTATTAATCAGTAAAGATATCGTGGAGGATAAATTCACAGTCTATTACAATAGAAGATGGCGGGAAATAACAAGAACATTAGGAAAATATATGAATAATGGCGGGAAGTAACAAGAACATTAGGGAAATATATGAATAATGGCGGGAAGTAACAAGAACATTAGGGAAATATAATAATGATGGCGGGAAATAACAAGAACATTAGGGAAATATAATAATGATGGTGGGAAATAACAAGAACATTAGGGAAATATAAGAATAATGGCGGGAAGTAACAAGAACATTAGGGAAATATATGAATAATGGCTGGAAGTAACAATAACATTAGGGAAATATAATAATGATGGCGGGAAATAACAAGAACATTAGGGAAATATAAGAATAATGGTGGGAAGTAACAAGAACATTAGGAAAATATATGAATAATGGCTGGAAGTAACAAGAACATTAGGGAAATATAATAATGATGGCGGGAAATAACAAGAACATTCGGGAAATATAAGAATAAAAGTTCGGTACTGTTCTAATATTTTTCATTGTTTTTTGAGGTTTTTTTAAATTCATATTTGTTTTAAATAATTTTTATGAAAGGGTAATTCCAGGGTTTGCGGCTTCTGCCTTGAAAGTTATTCTGATAATGGCTTTATTTTCTGGTTGAGACCAATAAAAAGTTCTTTCATAGCATCCCCCGCTTACTTCCTCAGCTAGTCACAATAACTAAAATATCACTTGCCAAATATAAATATGTTTACATAACTTATGTTCAACCTATCCCACATATGCTTAAAGCATAAAGAGCCTGGAAAACAAATTTAATCTTGTTTTTAACTTACCCATACAAATGCAATATTTTTCATATCTTGTAAGCTAAGTGTTCACAATCCACCTTCAGTAACTGTTCGATTAATCGGAAGAGTTGTTGATGGTTGATGCAGTATTCTGAACATTTTCATGTATCGAATTAGTCTTGTGAACCTAGGTTACTTCTGCCTTTTGTGTTACAGGAACCATATTACTGATGCTAAGTACACACAACACCCAAGCACATATTACTTTTGCCCCCATACTAGCTAAGAAACACCAGGCTAGTATAGGGGATCTCTCCGACTTTCATACTGAGTCCTAAGAGAGTTTTCGTTACATGAATCATGGTCTGATGGAATCTTTTTACGGAGAAACCATTCTTTTCGAAACTTACCCACACGTCATACAGTTCATCCTTAGATAGATCTTCTTGTGTGTATGATACGATACCTCTTGCTTCAGCTGGTATACACACAGTGTCAGGGGTCAGAAGCATTCTTCTACAAATGTGGAGAGTCGAAAATCACATCATCTACTTCAACCTTTTTTCCAAATCAATCTATTCTGTGCCAAACCTTTAGACTCTTCAATCTTTGGTTGTGTTGAGTTGTTTCACGAGTTCAAGTATGTGTGTGTGCGACGGCAGAATTAGCTTCTGTGTTTTAGGCGAGAAAAAGACGATAAAAATTACAAAGTGCACTGAGAAATTTCACCTTTTAAAGGAATCTAAAGGTTAAATACACCCAACAGCTACCACTATCTTATGCAACCATTTCTTTCTTCTACTACCTAATGCCTTTTTTTAGACCTTGAAATATTAGATTATTCTGTAGGATGATGATTATTATGGTATAGGGTTTTTTTCCACCCAGTTCGTGAAGGAGATCCAATGATTTCCTAAATTAAGCAGTGTGACAAAACAAAGCAGGTTATATAACGATAAAAGCATTCGAGTTTCATTAAATAATATAATTTATAAAATGTAACCATATGATCAGATCTTCTGATTAAATCGTAATTTCATTAGCTGATACGTAAGATGTGCATTTATTTAGTGGTTCTATCTTGCATGTTGTAATCTTCGAAAGATAACAATAACTGAACCATGGCAACTTAGCATAACTAATATTTCATATATGATTATACATGTATATTGTTTGAATTAGCAAACCAATGATTTTAGTACAGGTTCAGCTAACTTATTTGAATCAAAATGACATTGCAAAGTTTTCAAGATTATCTAAAGCTTAAATCCTTCACATGTTTTAGAAGGTACAACGTCCCATTTCCAAAACTGTATTTATCTACCAGCAGTTAATATACAATATT